AGAGAGGAGCTGTGGAGATCTGCTCTTTGTTGGATACTTATCTGCACATGTATGAGAGGAAATTCCTCAAGGCCAGGAAAGAACCACCAGGAAGCAAGTCCTGGATAGCTACCAGCCTAGTCCTCCTGGAAAGACCTCATAATATGCCTGGATTGGGGAGAAGTCTCAGGATAGTGCCTTAATAGTGGAGCAAAACTAGCCCTAAATCATTAATTTTTATATTTTATTTTTTCAGTGCTAGGGATTGAACCCAGGACCTGGCACCTGCTAGGAAGTGCTTTACCACTGAGATAACATCCTAGCCCAAACTTTACCCTAAATTAAAGGCTACACTAGAGCCAACATAAGAAAGCTTTAAAGCAAAAACTTGAAAGGACCAAACTGATTGCAAGTAACTTAACTGCATGTAAGAATAGTCTGATGCTATTTAAAGGAATATAATTATAGCAGCCTACAATATACATTTTGCGATGCTTGGCACTCAGCAGGAAAATACCAGGCATGCAAAGAAGAAAAGTAAAAGTAAGGTCAATCCATAATCAGAAAATAAAACCAACAGAAATCAAACAACAGAAGCAGACCGATTTTTTTTTTTTTTTTTTTGGTACTGGGGTTTGAACACAGGGGTGCTTTAGTCCTTTTTACTCTTTGAGACAGGGTCTTGCTAAGTTGCTGAGGCCAGCCTTGAACATGGCGATCCTCCTGCCTCATTCTCACTAGTGGTTGGGATTACAGGCATGTACCATGTATGATCAAGTACATAAAACAGAGGCCAGGTATGGCCTACAGACCAAATTTGGCTCACTGTTTTGTAGTTTTATGGAAAACAGCCAAGCTCATTCATCTACGTATTGTCTAACCTTCTTCCTATGGTGCTACAGTAGCAAATTTGAATAGTTGCACCAAAGACTCCAAACTCCTATTAGATATTTATTATCAGGTTTTTTTACTCTAAGTTTGCTAGCATAAAAGAAAATGTGAAAATGATGAGGAAAGAAATGGAAGATATAAAAGAAATGACCCCAGGGTACAGAGGGTGTAGTTCAGCGGTAGAGTTGCTTGCGCAGTATTGCTCAAGACCCTGGCTTTGATCCCCAACATTGCAAAACAAACAGAAATACCCCAGACAAAAAACTAACAATACTGCCAGGTGTGGTGATGCATATCTGTAATCCCAGCGGCTCGGGAGGCTGAGGCAGGAGGATCGCAAATTCACTGCCAGCCTCAGCAAAAGTGAGGTACTAAGCAACTCAGTGAGACCCTCTAAATAAAAAAACAAAATAGGATTGGGGATGTGGCTCAGTGGTCAAGTGTGTGTTCAGAGAGCTCAGTCCCCAGTACCACACCCTCAAAAGAAAAAGAAAAACCCAAAACTAACAACCCTCCACCCCATGCCAACAGATGGAACATACAGTATTTGAAAAGTACATTTGGAATCCAGATAAAGATGAATCTGATCTCACCTGTTTTCAAAGCTGATCATGGGACTCAAGAGGCTGACTTCTTTGACAGTGACAGGGAATGAAGAAAGGAAGAAGTGCTGTTGGGATTCCACCTGGGTTAAAGGCTTGCCTTGTTCCTTGGGAGTAGGCCTATGGAGTTGATGGCATGGCTGAGGGTGGAAGTCCTGGTTCAGTTTTTTTTTTTTTTCTTGTGGCACTGGGGATTCTACTCAGGGTTTGCTCATGCTAAGTAAGTGCTCTACCACTGAGCTACGTCTCTTCTATACCCTATCCTACCCTGTCTTTACAGGGTCTTGCTAAATTGCTTATTGCCGGGTTTCTGCTCACGCGACTAAAAGGCTCAGGGGTCACTCGAGTTGAACTGGGCTGACTGGGCTGCATGAAATAACCACACAAGAGACACAAATACCTTTTTCTTTGGGGTCGCTGTGACAGCTCCTCTGACCTTAAGGGTCCACAGGAAGAGAGAGAGCAAGAGCACACGCTGACCCTTTTATTGAGAAGCTATTCAAATGAAGCAAGGGGTCAGGTTTCAGGGGGCTGAGTCTATCTTCTTGATGTCCACTGTCAGCAGGTTGACTGACACCTGGGTAGGCCACACCCAGTAAGGCCACACTCAGTAAGAGAAGGGGACATACACAAGGCACTTCCATGGAAGATTCTATCCTAAACAGGGCAAGGGGTTATATTACAAAGGAACAGGTGAGCGTAGCTTCACCCATGGGGCTGTAGCAAGACACACCCATGCACAAGACACCGACCCTCGAACCCAACAAGGGTGGGGGAAGCTCTGCCACATTTCTGAGACTGAGCGCCTCAGCACCCAGCCGGGGAGTGTGACCCAGTCACATGCAAGGTTGGTCCCCCACAGCCCATGTTGGCCTCTAACTTGTGATCCTCCTGCCTCAGCCTCCTGAGTAGCTGGGATTACAGCATGCTCCACTGTGCCTGGCTCTAATATATCACAGGATATGTTGTAAACTCTAGTTATGCTACTGTGCTACAGAACACCAGAACCAACTCATCCTCACTGCATTCTGGTACCAATTATTTGACTTCCCTATCCCTGCCCCGCTCCCTTTTCTGGTCTTTTTACTCTTTTCTTTGATGAGGTTGACTATTTTAGCTTTCACAAGTGAGTAGAACCATGTGGAGTTTAGTTTTCTGTCACTGCAACAAATTACCTGAGATAAACAACTTAAAACAAGGAAGGATTTTTTTTGTGGGGGACTGAGGCTCATGGCTTCAGAGCTTTCAGTCCATGGTCACTTGGTGTTTTTGCTTTGGGCCTGTGGTGGCACAGTACATCACAGCAAGCACACATGACAGAGGTCTGTTAACCACATGGCAGTTGGGAAGTGAAAAGGGGATGGAGTTCCAATATCCCAAGGGGTTCAAGGACACGTTCTCGATAACCTAACTTTCCTCCAATATAACCCATTTAAAGGTTCCACCACCTCCCAATAGTGCCACAGCCTGGTGACCAAGCCTTTAACACATGGCCTTTGGGAGACATTTAAGATCCAAATTAACTGGGTGTGGAGGTGACACCTGTAATCCCAGCAATTCAGGAGGCAGAGGAAGAAGGGTAGAAAGTTTGAGGCCAGCCTGGACAACTTAGCAAGACTACCTCAAAAGTAAAAAGGGCTCGAGATGAGGTTCATTGGTAGAGCACTCATGGGTTCAGTCCTGGTACTGCAAATACATACATACATACATACATACATACAGAAATTAAAAATCCAAGATATAATATAGTATTTTTATTCCTATGCCTGGTTTGTTTAAAATATCCTCCACTCTCATCTACATGTTGTTGCAAATGATAGAATTTCATTTTTTATTGCTGAATAATATTCCACTGTGCATATTTTTTCATTCATCCATTGATGGGCATCCATATGCTGGTCACTGTGAATAGTACTGCAATAAAAATGCAGTACTATTTTTTTTTGGGGGGGGGTACCGGGGATTGAACTCAGGGGCACTTGACCACTGAGCCATACCTCCAGCCTTGTTTTGAATTTTATTCAGAGACAGGGTCTCACTGAGTTGCTTAGTGCCTCACTATTGCTGAGTCTGGCTTTTCTTTTTTTTTTTTGGTGGCACTGGGGATTGAATCCAGGACTTTGTGCATACGAGGAAAGCACTCTATCAATTGAGCTATATCCACAGCCCCTGAGGTTAGCTTTCAACTTGCGATCCTCCTGTCTCAGCCTTCTAAATCGCTGGGATTACAGGCCATGTGTATGCCACCATGCCTGGTGAAGCCATCTTTTTAATAGACTAATTTCATTTCCTTTGGAAATATACTCAGTAGCTGGATTACATGGTAGTTCTATTTTTAGTTTTTTGAGGTGATGCCATCCTGTTTTTTCATAATGGTTGTATTAATTTACATTCCCTCCAAAAATGTATAAGAGTTCCCCTTTCTTCACATTCTCACTAACAAAACATACATAATTTTAAATGGTCAATACCAGGGCTGGGGATATAGCTCAGTGGTAGAGTGTTTGTCTAGCATGAGAAAGGCCCTGGGTTCAGCCCTTAGTACTGTGGAAAAAAAAAAAAAAGAAGAAAGAGAGGAAGGAAGGAAGGAAGGAAGGAAGGAAGGAAGGAAGGAAGGAAGGAAGGAAGGGTAATCACTGATTAAAACCACCAATTGCCAGCTAAGTGACTATTTTCAGGTCACCTTCATTAATGATACGCTTTTGCTAATACTTATATGACATTTACTATGAGCCAGGCACAGCACTAAGGTTCCACTTGGATTTTAATCATTACAGTGCTTGCCCCCACCTGCTTCTAATTGAAGAAACTGAAGCACAAAGTGATGAAATGACACGGACATGGTCATATACCTAGTGAGTGGGGATTCAAACTCAGGCAGTGTGAGGCCAAGACCTGACCTCTGAACTCCTGCACGGGCTCCTTCGTAAAGCACCTATTCTAAAGCAGGAAATACATGGGACACTATTAGTGGATTCCAGATTTTAACAGGACACTGAAAAACCCTGTGGAAATTTAAGTTCTTTTTTTTTTTTTTTCTTTCTTTTAGGGAACCAAAAACTGAAGAAAACACAAAATCAGATGCACAAACTTTTTCATTTATAAAAAGATTCTGCTCCTTAGTCAACTACATTTATTTAGAATCTTTAGAAACATCTCACACATGCATTTAGCAGTTTTATTTTCTAACTCCAATCAGTGATATCATCACTATAGTTAAATGACCCAAATGATGAGGCTGGAACAACATATGTGGCTCTAAGACCAATACTTTTATAAACTTCCATCTTCCTATCCTCTCACCTTGTCAGCAGGTTCTGAAACAAAACCAAACCAAAACAGAACAATACAAATAAAACTTTTTTGGGAAGGCAATTATTTATTAGTGATGCAAACAGAGGCATAACCAAGTATGAGAAGGACTAGTTCCGCCAAGTTACAACAGCAACAAGTATCACAGTTCTTTTAAGAGGCTTTCAATAGTGTGACCCCAAAGGATAATGTGTAAAGAAACACAACAACCACGGATTATTTAAAAATGTATATTTAATGGCTATTCCATCAAAATTAAGCAGAATTACATTTAAAAAGAATCATGTGCATATGTATCTATCTAAGGTGCATTTTCAAGTGTCATTGGGCTTCACTTCACTTTGGCTGCCTGAGGTGTTCTTACAGACATAGTTAAAACAGAACATTCTGAGGCTGGTGGCTTCTCATGCATTGGAAAGTGAGATCCTGGATATATGAGAAATTCGAAAAGCTGTGTATCATCTTGAAAAACTCAATACCAGTCATGAAATACATTTTCAAAAGAAAATTTAGGCACTCTATACTTTGGAATAGCCACAAAGTATTCCAACAAGAGTTAATGCACTTTGTGATTATACCTACTCAAAGACAATTTTCAAATAAAATCTATACTTACTTATTTTTGTGGTACTGGGAATTGAACCCAGGGTGCTCTACCACTGAGATACATCCCAGTCCTTTTATTTTTTTAATTTTGAGATAGGGGCTCACTAAGTTGGTGAGGCTGGCCTCAAACTTGCCATCCTCCTGCCTCAGCCCCCCAAGTGGCTGGGATTACAGGTATGCACCATGGCACCCAGCAAAATCTATATTTATTAATAAGATTTTAAATTAAAGCCCATTAAATTTTGGTAATTACTGTGAACAATCTGCAGCATTGTCTTATAGTTAAATAGTGCTGAACTACTTCTATTATTGACTCTGATATTTATCCTCATGGTAAGTTTTTATAGAAGACCCTAGAACATTCATTAAGAAGCATCTTCGCCCTTTTCCTGCTAATATGTCAACAAGAAGGCCCATAATCAACATTATAGGGATTATATTTTCTGCTGTAGTTGCTTTCTTTGCATATCAAACTTCAGCAAAAGAGAGGCACCCTCGGGGCCAGGAAACATCAGCCAGGCGTTTTCTCCTGCTGGTTCCTAGGCTCACTTTGTTTGCTCAGTTATTAATGATGAAGCATGTAGTTCCACCTAGTTCCTACAGTCTGTGCTGTTGTGTGGGCTGGTATGGAGGTAAAGGGAGGATAATCCAACTAGTCATTGTACTTTGCACAAGGCCAAGGCCACCCAGAGCTCATCTGACTTGAGGCAAAGCTTGGTGACCTCTGGGGCTTCTACTTCCTCATATGAAGACTGAGGGGTGTGGATGATGCTGCCTGAGACACCATTAACTCCAGATGAACTTCACAGACTAGAACCTGTTAGCATTGTTAGAACTCAGAACATGGAGGTTAATTGTTCTTGTCAAGAAGGAGCAATTGCTCAGTGGTGTGCACTTTTGTAGCTCAGAAAGCAATTAGAAAGCCTTTCAGAATCTTTAGGAGATTACAGTCTGCAAATTGACTCATCAAAATCACCAATGACTAACATGTAAAGTTTCATCCAGAGAAATGAATTTGAGACTTAGTTGACTATAAGTCATCCAGAAGAGAGTACAGTAATTTCCCTTTGGAGAATATGGGTCTTTCGTCATGGGGGAATTAATTTCACTGCTAATGTTTGCTGGCTTACTTGAAGAGACAATTAGCACAAGTAAATCATGAGTGAGATGACAAGTGGCTTAGCATTTGCTTCTGTTCATCACATGAGATCTGAGCTGCTATTAGGCATCTGTCTGAACAGGGTGGGGGGAGAGAAGGGGTAAGGAACAGGAGGCTGTTAACTCCAATTTCAGCAAATATAATCAAAACCAGTTACTTCTAATTGGCAAACATTGATGTTACAGGCAAAACAGAAAAGACTTGTTCATTCAGACTTTAGAAATTAACTTCACCAGAGGTGACAGAAGCTGGGAAAAATCAGGCAGATGACTGTTGGTTTGGGAAAAATCACTTGGAACCTCAGCCTGTCTCCTGAGCAGAGAGAACGAGATGGTAAGAACATCGTAAATTTTACTTGAGGTGGCCTTTTATCTTCACCCTGAACTTCGTCTTCCTATGGATATTCTAAATAACAGCATCTGTCTTGTGATCAGGGCCTGTGGCTCACGACAGCACAGTTAAGGTTACAGTCCCTCTCTGGTGTTTTAGAATGGCGACAGCTTGCTCATGAGTGACACCTTCCAGGGTCTCACCATTAACAGCTAAAATCTGATCACCTCGCTTTAATCGGCCGTCATCTGCAGCTGCTCCCTACAAACAAGAAACATTCCAGTTTAATCCAGGGTGAAATGGTTTAATATTACATTAATATTAAAACCTCTAACTTGTGTCTGTGTGAAGGAGGAACTTAAAAAACTAAAGTTTTTTTTTTTTTCTAGGAAATATTTTAAATTAAGAAAAATGGGGGCTAGGAATATAGCTCAGTTGGTAGAGTGCTTGCCTAGCATGCACAAGGCCCTGGGTTCAATCCCCAGTACCACCAGAAAAAGAGAAATGTAGGATATATTGTTTGAATAATAGTGGGTGTATAGAAACTGTAGCTATGAATCATCTAAATAACATACCAATAGAAATGTACTGACACATTCCCTTTAATAGAGGTAGAACCTTATTTCAATACTTAGCATTAAATGTGATTGGATGTCATATCATGTCATATTCATGGAAACGTAATATACAAGAGAAGGCAGATAAAATTGAGTCTGGTGTTAGTCTTATTGCCAATACCATCTTCATGTAAGGTTCCCATTGCGTTATTAAGCCATCAGAACTGTCATCTGTCAAAAGCAAGTGTAGCCTTTAAATGGGTGAATTGCATGGTATGTGAATTATACCTCAATAAAGCTGTTATAGATATAAAAGTGTGGCATCTGTAAAACTTTGTAATCTATTCAAAAGCTTCAACTTCATATTTGATCATCTAAATAGGTTTTCAAATGACTACTTTTATTACATATCAGTCATGCCTGGCTCTTCAAAATGGAACAAAGAACAAAGCAAGTGAAACGTGGATTTTTTTTTTTTTTCATTCTAAAACTGAGTATCTAAAAATGCTGTGATATTACTAGAAATGTTCTACATTAGAGTAAGGGAATAAACGACCTAGAAAATAATTTATAGGGGGCTTTCTCTATCTGTTGGGATAACTGTTAAAGTTCCTTGAAAATCAGGGCCAAAAGTCCTCTACTGGAGGCCAAAGTGCTGGGGAAACAAGGGCCACGGGCACAGACCCTGGCCAGAGTCCATCAGAAACTGAGCCAGGAGGCTCTTGTGCTCCACGGCAGCATGGAGGGCCAGTGGTGCTCAGGCAATTTTCTAGAACTTCTAAACAACAAAAAGGGTAGAAAATTCTTGTATGAATTGTACAATAAAGAATATTCAAACCAGGTCTACACTAGGGTAGAGGAATACCAAAATTAAATAATTTGCAGATTCATTCAAATTCTTTAAGAAAGTAAAGTGTCAGTGGCATTAAAGTAAAGACAGGATCCCATACGTGACTTCAGGGAATAAAATCAGAATTACTAGACAATTCAAAATTACTTTGGGGGAGCCAGATGAACCCATAATTCTAGCTATTTAAGAAGCCGAGGCAGGATGATCATAAACCCAATGTCAGCCTGGGTGCACTGGGAAAAAATTTTTCTTTTGCTAGTTTTTGGTTTAATTCTCTATAGAAAACTTTAAAATTCAGACATATTGGTTTAGTGTAACAAAAAAAGGAAAGAAAAAAAAATTTTTTCAGCACAAGAGATCAAACCCAGGCCCTCTTGCATGCTAGGCAAGTGCTCCACCACTGAGTTACATCCCTAGGCCTCATTTTTTGGGGGGAGGCGGGAGGGTACCCAGGGCGCTCCACCACTGACCTACATCCCCAGTCCTTTTTATTTTTTATTTTGAGACAGGGCCTTGCTGAGTTACCCATGCTGACCTGGAACTTGTGCTCCTCCTGCCTCAGCCTCCTGAGTTGCTGGGATTACAGATGTGCCACTGCCTGTGAAAAGGTCATCCTGTGTGAGTTTCAATCCATTCATTAAACCCACTAGTCTTGTCCTATCGATGGCGGTTGCTTTTAAAAGCACACCAGCAACACACAGCTATTTCATGATCAGCTGTGTATGCTGGTGATCTGGCTTCCTGTCCCACTGGCCTCTGTGAACATGCAGATAGGTACAGTGGGAACAGTCTGATGCACTCACTTTGGACTAACTAGCCCTGTCTCTGGACCATGGCTGATGTGGCCACAGTGAGCCGGTGATGAGGAACACCCTGGAGGGCCTCCATGGAGGACAAGGTGGGTGGCAGGACTTGCCAAATCATGGGGGACCAAGCTCACTCTGTAGCCATCCCACTACCTTTATAGCTGACTCTTTCAAAAGCAAAGTATCACAATGACCACATAAGAAGAATGGTCATGCCTCCTGCAGTGTTAAGCATGTCTTAGGGGAAGGATGGTCAGTGTGTGATTTAACTACTGTAGGTGTCAGCAGGTGGGGTGTCACTGTTATCCACAATGTTTCTGAGCTGCCTTCTCTCTCCACTTTCACCCACCTGCAGTTCAACAGTGTGTGTTTGGGAATAATAATAATAATATGCCTTCTTAACAGGTACCCCAGCAGGATGAAACAGATGGGGATATCTGCAGCTGCCCAGTGTGGTCCAGAAGCAAATGCTAAATGACTTAAGGGTTTATATTAGGCCTCAGGCAGGCCTAATTAAAAGGTGATGCTCTGCACATATAAAACAAGTTTATATTTAATGCATAATATAACTTTCTAGAAAGAGACCAGATCGACCTTAAGATAAAGATTTCTGCTTTTGAACACCTTTATTTGTGTGTGTGTGTGTGTGTGTGTGTGTGTTATGGGGACTGAACCCAGGGAAGCTCTACCACTGAAAATAAAACAGTCAGACAACTGGATCAATTCATAAACAAATGATTGTGATAAAACCCACGAGACAAAGGCTGCAATATCAACACCAAACACTTTTCAGAGATCTTCAAACTTAACAGATTCCAGTGTAAAAACTCTAAGTTAAAAATAGTGACTCTAAGAGCCTTCTAGAAGCAGCAGTAGTAGTGGACATCTCAGCCTCTTACTAATTAACTAGGATTTTTGGAAGTAGTTTAATGCCTGAAAAACATGGTATTCCCCAGAATTAGTCTAACATGTTACCTCTTTGGCAAAGTTGTGGACCAAAGAAACCACGCAGATCTAAAGCATCCTGAGGTTTTCTGTGATGCGCAGCGATTTATATTTTTAAACTCATCTGAGGCTTGTAGAGAGCTTTCTGCCTCAGACCTTTGGTGGCTGACACATTTCTCTTTCTTCTTCTCTCTCTCTCTTTCTTTCTCCAGCACTGGGGATGGAACTTGGGGTCTTTCTAGTACTGAGCTGGCCATGGTATCTTTTCTTTAAAGACAATGCAAAATCTTTTTTCTAATCTAGACCCCTAGACCAATACTCCAGGGCCAGCTTCTAAAGAATGTGGTGCCACTCCCTAAACTGTTGCTGAAAGAAGACACTCCTTAAAGTCTGTGAGCAAATCCTGTGAGAGAATCCGAAGAAAATTCTCTTGACTCTATTACTGTAAAATATCTTTTCTCTCACTGGTGTAGAGATTTCTTATAAAACTCACAGGAACTAGGCAGACATGCACACATCACGGGTAACCCAAAGTAAAGCAACACAAAGCACTTTAAAAAAATTCTCACCTAGTTTTGATTTAAAAAAAAAAAGTACAGTAAAAAGGAAAAAAATACCTTTGCAAATATAGTCTTGACATAAATTGGCAGGTCTCCATGGGGACTTCCATAACCCCCTACAATACTAAACCCCAATCCTTCAGAGCCTTTCTCCAAAGTAATAATCTTAGGTGGAGGTGTTCTGAAAGCACAATGCATGCTGTTTAATTCGAGAATAGGTACGGAGAGGGAATTTCATTTTAATGGACGAGCACAGATTTGAGAGAGACTTTCATACTGTGAAGCTATGAAGGTAAGTTTACCATATCATAATATTAACAATCTGGAAACTAATTTTTAAATTTCCCATGACATGCCAACTCATCAATAATATTCTTTTTTTTTTTTTTTTTGATTCAAGGGATTAATTTAGGGGCATTAGGCCACTGAGCCACATCCCCAGCCCTATTTTGTATTTTATTTAGAGACAGGGTCTCATTGAGTTGCTTAATGCCGTGCCAATTGCTGAGGCTGGCTTTGAACTCAGGATCCTCCTCTCAAGCTGCTGGGATTACAGGCATGTGCCACCACGCCCGGATAACAATATTCTTGATGGCTTAGGGTTTCTCTTGCATAAAATCCACTGTTTTCTAATTAGAAACAAAGTCATGATGCTGAAATTGTCCAAGCACAAGCACCCCTCCCCCCATGCTTGGTTTTAAACTCTTAAATGCACTGTTTAGAGCTGAAGGGAACTATCTTGAATGTGCATGCCACAGAGAGGGAGAGTGTCTCATCAGCGAGGTGGGAGACTGCTGTCCTCAGGTGGCCTCATGTCTATAACAGGTAATGGCAGCCTGTTAGCTCCTGCCTGCGTGCCCTGGGCACACCTGTCCCACTACTTCCGCCTAGGGTAGGAACTTTCATCTCAAAACATACCTCCAATGGAAGGCCCTCCTACTGCCTCAAGGGGATGAGTTCCATCTGCTCCCTTTGCTTTTGGTTCAAATTTCCAGGATGGTCCTCATTGTGCCATATTGCAATTACGTATCCGTCTTGTTTGTTTTTGTACTGATGATTGAACCCAGGAGTACTTTACCACAAAACTACATTCCCATTGCTTTTTATTTAATTTTAAGACAAGGTCTCATTAACTTGCTAAGGGTCTCTCTAAGTTGCTGAGGCTGGTCTCAAACTTGCAGTCCTCCTGCCTCGGCCTCCTGAGTTGCTGGGATGACAGGTGTGTGCCTTATGTGGCCCTCTTTCTCCTCTACCTGGTGTCAACTCTTCATCTCAGTCACCTGAGTACACCAATATGCTATATTTTGCTTGTCACAAACTCAGGATCATGACCATGTAGATGAGAACTAATGTCCAGGACAGAAGAGAGAAACCCAAATGAATCAAAACGGATAAAGAATCTGTTTCAAATGCACAATTTAGGTTTTCAAAGCTTCGACCAGTGTGGAAGCCTTTTCTCTCAGAAACAACACAGCTAACAATTAAATTATCTTTGTAGGCTCCAATAATTTAATCTAAACTCAGGTGATACTAATTTCTTATTCCCAAATGCTATTGTTCAAAGAGTAAGAACCTGAAGAATTCTGGTATCTCAGGCCCTATGATTTTTTTTTCTTAATTTTTGTTGTTGTAGATGGACAACATACCTTTATTTTATTTGTTTATTTTTATGTGGTGCTGAGGATCAAACCCAGTGCCTCACATGTGCTATTGAGGCAAGCACTCTGCCATAAGCCCCCGCCCCGCTATGATCTTATTGATGGTGGATGGTTCACTTTTTTTTTTTGTATTAGAGACTGAACCCAGGAATGCATCACTGAGCTACATCCCTGGCGCTTTCCACTTTTTTATTTTGAGACAGTGTCTCACTAAGTGCTGAGGCGAGCCTTAAACTTTGATCCTCTTGCCTCAGCCTCCTGAGTAGCTGAGATTACAGGTATGTACCACTACACCTGGCTTGGAGGTTCACAATTGATAGGGGAAGCATCATTTGTTTTGTGGCAGCATGAATGTCTGAGAGGCAGAGTCAACTGATGTAAACTCAGCCATTCATGTATTTGGAGAAACTTGTAAAATGGAATATAAGTGACCTTAGAATATTCGGTTCTGTCTGATTTAGAATATTCTTCCCTCTCTCCCTCCTCAGTTCTGCGTGGCTTGTTTTGGGGCTGACTTTCAGCTAGTTCCTTCTGCTGCCAGTTATTGATGTAGTCATGGTCTGAAGCAGGCATCCGCAGTAATTGCCATATAAACTGTTAACTGTTTTGAATGTCGCTCTGCTTATTCCAGTTCTTTCAAAACTCAGCCTAGGTATTAGCTTCCCTGAGTTAACTCCCTAATTGAGTTATACCCATATCCATGGTCACAGGGCCCTCCCTCACTGCATTCAGGTCTCCTACACTGACCCCCTCTTTCATAACTGTGGATTTATGGCCTATTTTTCTAATTCTCTGGCAGCTCCTTAAGGAGTAGGGCAATATCTTTACCTACATCCATGTTGGAATCCTTGGGACCTAGCTTTTGTAAAGTGCCTGGCCTTAGGCGCTCAGTAAATGTCTGTTGAAATAAGGATGAAGTATCCCCTTGGCTGAACAGTAATGACGTCATGAATAAAGCTCCACCTGTCTCCACTTTGTGGCCTTGTGAGCACTCTCAGTAATGGCCCACTGGCTAGACACATAATTGATTCATGTTTCCTCTTTCAAACACAGTCCCCATTTCCAAGGATATTGGAATGGGAACCTAGGTGCCCAAAGCCAGTGTTTGACGCCCTGGGGGCACCAAATCATTAAAGCCTTCATAATTGTGCCCATTTACAATGAGGATTGTGTTTGCAGGGGGAGGGGAGGAGCCAGGCTCTATTCTTTAACTGGTAACATCACATGGAGTCTGTCTCCATTTATCTCCCCGTATCCTAATATTTCCAATCAATGAGTTTTCCTTTTTAAAAAAAATCTCCAAATGTTAGCAGTGGGGGATTAGGAATGATTTTTAAATTCTTTTGTGCTAGTGGTTTCTGACTTTCCAGGAATCAAGAGTACAAGGGTACCTCTATTTCCATAGCCACATCAAAGGATATTAAGACACACTATTCTTCTATAACCATCCTGATTTTCTTTTAAAGGGCTGTTGTACCTTGAAAATGCATTTTTCTTGTCACACTTTAATGGCATATATTGCTTTTTTCAAAAAATTGGTACTGGGGCTTGAATCCAGAGAGCTTTACCATTGAGCTACATACCCAGACCTTTTCATTTTTTTAATTTTGAGAGAGGATCTTGCTAAGTTGCTGAGGGTCTTGTTAAATTGCTGAGGCTGGCCTTAAATTTAGTATTATCCTGCCTCAGCTTCCCAAGTGACTAGGATTACCGGCACATGTCACCATGTCAGGCAATGGCATATGTTAGAAGAAAGTAGAATGAACTTAATTTAACAGTCTTTCCAAAAAAAAAAAAACCTCAAAGATTATTTAAGTTGATGTAACTACCCCCTTAAAAGTTGCAAATGGCTGTGATCATGAGATGCTTCAAATGAACTACTGAGATCAGTCAACAAACATTTATTGAGCACCTCCTAGTGACCAGGCACTGGTAGTACTAAGGAATAACATTAGGTGGATTTCTCAAAGCATGCATCTTCTTGCACTGCTTCAGAATCACCCTGGGGAAGTTGTTAAAGCAGGTTTCTGATTTTTCTGTAGACCACCTAATCAGATCTTTACAAATAAGGCCTGGAGAAATACTGTCTGCAAACCCATTTCTTTAAACACCTCTTTAATAAACAATTATAACTGCAATGATGAATCTTAATGAAATATGGCAGCAAATATGACAAGATTTAATCTCAGAATAAAATTTTAGCTTAGAAAGTTGAGGGAACATGGTTCCTTGCACAAGAAAGCTGGTACACTGGGAATGTAGGTCTGTGGTTTCTTAGGGAGGGAGACACAGGGGACCATGTCGAAGTGGCCAGAGCAGTGTGTGCAGGCCCTGCAACGATGCTCTTTTAAGAGCTTATATGGTAAAACAGAGCTTTGTGGGAAGCAAGGGAACCCTAATGCCTTCTCTAGGAGCTGGAAAAAGGACCGTGCACTTCCTCTCCTCTCCTTTTGAGGGCATATTTTGGCATCGGGGAGAATCCTCAGGAGCTTGGCCCACACACAGAAGAAGCCCTCTGCATCTAGAATACTCACTCTGTGTCTTCTGAAGGGTGGTCAGCAGTGGGTGAGCCACAGTGGTGGCCTGTAGACATGTTTTCAAGCCGAGTGGCAATGGCACTTATATTGGTATCTGCTACAACCTGGAGGGGAAGTTAGAACAAGATATGTCATCATAGGCAGAGGAGAATTAGGGAGACCAGGCTGCACCCCGTGGGCAGTCCTCAGTCCTCATCTCATCCAACTTATAGGTAGCACCTAGATATTCACAAGGGATCTCTCTCTCTCTCATTTATATATAACAGTGGAATGCATTACAACTCTTATTACATATATAGAGCTCAATTTTTCATATCTCTGGTGGTATATATAGTATACTCACACCAATTCGAAGAGATCACATCACCCTCTCTTAATAATTCTCAGGACTCACACCTTCCTAATTTCCTGTCCACCTTTCTAGCCATTCCTTCATATCTTTCCAACCTTGAACTATCCAAGTGTCACAAGGCTCGGTCCTCAAGCATTTAGTCTTATCTTTCCCATCTTAATATGTTCCTTCAGACATATGACTCGTTTCACGAATTTAAGTACCACCTAAGTGATGATAATCCCTGGATCCTCCTTTTACCTACTTCCAAACCCATATAGCCAAGCACCAACCTGACATCTCTAGTGGGTGTCTCTCAGGTAGCCCAAGCCTGATTCTTGGGCTGTTAGGGCCTGCAGCCTTCCTCCTCTCAAGTGCCTGCCGCTTGATTCCAGTTTCATGAGCACCTTGGTGTTCACAACCCACATTCAACCCTCAGAAGACTCTATAGGCCTAATCTGCAAAAGCATCCCCCCACTTTTTTTGGTACTGGGGATAGAACCCAGGGTCACTTTACCACTGTGTTACATCCCCAGTTCTTTTTGAGATAGGTCTCACAAAGTTGCTTAGAGCCTTGGTAAGTTGCTGAGGCTGGCTTCAAACTTCTGATTTTCCTGCCTCAGACTCCTAAATTGATGGGATTATAGGTGTTCACCAAGGCACCTGGTCAAAAACCCTTTTTTTTTTTAACTTTATTTTATTTGTTTATTTTTTATGTGGTGCTGAGGATCGAACCCAGTGCCTCACACATGCTAGGAAAGTGCTCTACCCCAGAGCCACAACTACAGCCCTCAAAAATATCTTTTGTCTGGAGTTGTAAAACTCCAGACAAAATAGAGCAGGTTATCTCTCTGCCTTGGCCCCAGTCCACTGCAGCCTGTTAAAACACAGCAAATTATTTCACTCCTCTGCTTAAAACCATCTAAAGGAAACCAGAATCTCTTGGATCACAAGCTGAAGTCCTTACTATGACTGACAAGCTCATCTGCAGGTGATCTGCTGTGACACCTCTACCCTTTCTCCTAATGATCTCCTCTGCATTCACTCTGCCCCAGTAGCTGGCCTGCTTGCTGCTTCTCACAGGCCAGATCCCTTCCTGCCTTGGCACGAGCTACCCTGCCCTACCCCTGAAATGCTCTGCATGGGGCATCTGCATGTCCAGCTCCTTCACTTCCCTCTGGGTACCAGGGATCAAACACAGGGCTGCTCTATCAGTGAGCCGCATCCCCAGTCCCTTTCACTTTTTATTTTGAGAAAGGATCTCACTAAGTTGCTTTGGGCCTCACTACTTTGTTGAGGCCAGTGTTGAATTTGTGATCCTCCTGCCTTCCAAGCCACTGGGATTACAGGTGTGTACCACTGTACCTGGCTGCTCCCTCAGGTCTTCAAAGTCACCTTCTCTGAGCACTCTAAAATTTCCACACCAACATCCTGGTCCAGCTTTTCATGTCTCCTTTTCCCTGCTTCTGGTTTACTTCTTACCACCACTGCTACCCGATAAATGGTGTAGGTTTTACTTCATTCATCTTATTTATTATCTATCAATGCATATGAGAATGTGAGGGCGGGGACAGTTGTCTGCTTTGTTCACTGCTGTCTTCATATCACTAGAACGGTGCCTGGCATAAGGAGGTGTTCGATAAATAGCTGGTGAGTGACAGAATGGATGTCTTTGACTTCCTGAGATTTGCATTTTAGATGGTCCTAACCAAAGATATAATAGGATAATGACATTTAGATTATTTACATTGTGTTTGTATTCTGCAAATAACATTCTAAGGCATTGAGAAGAAATAAAGCTCCGAGAGCCTGTACTGGGGCTCAGGATGGAGTTTCAGCACTGAGTTTCTGCCACTTAATGATGCTGGGCTTCCTCATCTATTAAATGGGAATCGTAAAAGTCCGCCTTGCCTCCTTCTCCTGGAGTTGTCTTCTACCTCAACTAGGGCCACACCTTCATTCTCAGGAGCTCCTTGGTTACATGTTTCTGACCAGTGGTCCTGCTTCTAGGTACCTTGCCATCTGTAGATTACGTCTAGGACCTGCCAGGATAGCAAAATCTGCATATGCTCAAGTGAAAAAAAAATAGTATAATGTATGCATATAACTTACAAACATCTTCCTGTATATGCTTCTAGTGACCAGGGCCACATCTCCAGCCCTTTTTTTTTTTTTTAATTTTTTATTGTGGGTTGTTCAAAACATTACAAATTTCTTGACATATCATATTCCACACTTTGATTCAAGTGGGTTATGAACTCCCACCTTCACCCCATACACAGATTGCAGAATCACATCGGTTACACATCCATTGATTTACATATTGCCATACTAGTGTCTGTTGTGCTCCGCTGCCTTTCCCATCCTCCACCCTCCCCCCTCCCCACCTCTCCCCTCCCCTCCCCTCCTCTCTCTCTACCCCCTCCACTGTATAACCCTGAGGGTCTCCTTCCATTACCATGCAATTTCCCTTCTCTCTCCCTTTCCCTCCCACCTCTCATCCCTGTTAAATGTTAATCTTCTTCTCCTGCTCTTCGTCCCTACTCTGATCTTAGTTACTCTCCTTATATCAAAGAAGACATTTGGCATTTGTTTTTTAGGGATTGGCTAGCTTCACTTAGCATAATCTGCTCTAATGCCATCCATTTCCCTGCAAATTCTATGATTTTGTCATTTTTTAATGCAGAGTAATACTCCATTGTGTATAAATGCCACATTTTTTTTTATCCATTCATCTATTGAAGGGCATCTAGGTTGGTTCCACAGTCTTGCTATTGTGAACTGTGCTGCTATGAACATCGATGTAGCAGTGTCCCTGTAGCATGCTCTTTTTAGGTCTTTAGGGAATAGACCGAGAAGGGGAATAGCTGGGTCAAATGGTGGCTCCATTCCCAGCTTTCCAAGAAATCTCCATACTGCTTTCCAAATTGCCTGCACCAATCTGCAGTCCCACCAGCAATGTACAAGTGTACCCTTTTCCCCACATCCTCACCAGCACTTGTTGTTGTTTGACTTCATAATGGCTGCCAATCTTACTGGAGTGAGATGGTATCTTAGGGTGGTTTTGATTTGCATTTCTCTGACAGCTAGAGATGTTGAGCATTTTTTCATGTACTTGTTGATTGACTGTATGTCCTCCTCTGAGAAGTGTCTGTTCAGGTCCTTGGCCCATTTGTTGATTGGGTTGTTTGTTCTCTTATTGTCTAATTTTTTGAGTTCTTTGTATACTCTGGATATTAGGGCTCTATCTGAAGTGTGAGGAGTAAAGATTTGTTCCCAGGGTGTAGGCTCCCTATTTACCTCTCTTATTGTTTCTTTTGCTGAGAAAAAACTTTTTAGTTTGAGTAAGTCCCATTTGTTCATTCTAGTTATTAACTTTTGTGCTATGGGTGTCCTACTGAGGAATTTGGAGCCCGACCCCACAGTATGTAGATCGTAGCCAACTTTTTCTTCTATCAGACGGCGTGTCTCTGATTTGATATCAAGCTCCTTGATCCATTTTGAATTCACTTTTGTGCATGGCGAGAGAAAGGGATTCAGTTTCATTTTGTTGCATATGGATTTCCAGTTTTCCCAGCACCATTTGTTGAAGATGCTATCCTTCCTCCATTGCATGCTTTTAGCCCCTTTATCAAATATAAGATAGTTGTAGTTTTGTGGATTGGTTTCTGTGTCCTCTATTCTCTCCATCCCTTTTTAAGATTCCTTATAATTATTTGTAATACTTTATAAGATTACTTATAATCCTAATGCTGTGTAAATAGTTATACTACATTGTTAAGGGCATAAGGACAAAAAACAGTCTGCACATGTGCAGTGCAGAAGCAACTGTCCTAGGCGTAAATACATTTTCAATCTGAGGGTGGTTGAACCCAAGGACATGGAGGGCTGACTGCAGGGCTCATTGTGAGTACTGAGGGGACCTTTGCTGACGTATGAGCTGGATTTGGTAGCAATTTCAGAATCGGTCAACAGAGGGCAGAGCTGCCTAATCGTTACAGCTGCATTTGTTGAGTAGAAGAGCACAAAAAAGGCATGGGGGGCTCAGCACCACATAAAAACAAACAAAATAAAGGTATTGGGTCCATCTACAACTAAAAAAATAAAAATAATAAAAAAAGGTAAGAGGTCTGCCTCAGCTGGCTCAACACATGTTGGGTGGAGCATCCTACCTTGGGGGAAACTGCTACACAAGTTAGAGGATCCTCCAGAAACACCACATATGAAGAATGACAGCAGGAACTCAGAGGTAGGACAACAGGCTTGAGGAGGAAATGTCAGATCCTCCCTGATCACAAGTCTCACCTCACCATCAGCATTTTCTGCCGTCTTCCACAGCAGGTTTACTGGCAGTGTCATCTTGGCCCATGATCTCTGACACTCTACCTATTCTTATTGTACACTGTCTTCATAAACCTGCTCTATTCCAGCTTCTAGCCCCTTTACTTGGCCCAGATGTCCATGACCCCTTCCCTCTGGCTTTCCTCCTGCCGCTGAGGTTTGCTTTTCCATCTCTTTGTTATTCTCTATTCACTTCCTGGCTCAATTGTGGGCCCACCTCCCATCTGCACACTCAGGGTCAAGGGACAGCACATGCATTCCCATGGCTTTAAATGCCAGCAGTATACTGAAAACACCCTCTTAGTCTGCTACACCCAATTGACAATTTGAGATCTGTATTTTACTATCTCAAAAGGATAACAAAATTAACACCATAAGCCAGGTATGGTGGCACACACCTATAATCCCAGCAGCTGGGAGGCTGAGACAGGA